ATATAAGGGGGACTCTGATGTAAGGGGGGCTCTAATGTAAAGGGGAACCCATAGACTCTGATGCAAGGGAGAATTCAGGGGACTCTGATGTAAGGGGGCTCTCAGCACTGAGTCCCCAGCGTCCCTCCTTACATCAGGGTCCCCAGTGTCGCATGTAAGGAGGGACTGTGAGGCAAGGGGGAACTCTGGGGCTTTTTAATCAAAGATTTGTGTTGATATTATGGTAACGTTATTTAAGAAATGGGTCTCAGATTTTGGAAAGGTGTAGATATTCCACCGAACACCTGACCAATGTACCCCTTATTTGCTAGATGCTGAAGTGACTCTGCCGATGGCGCCACATACATCCAAGAAGTAACTCTACTATATCTCTGGTTTGGCTCTGTGGCCTGTCAGAGCCTCTGGAGAGAACGTAATGAGCATTCAGCCTCCGGCCACATCCCGTGACCATTTGCTGACAGCTCCCCTCGGGCGACCGTTCACTGACAGCGCCAAGCGCCCCCCATCCCCACTGAATGATCATTCACTGCCAGCACCAGCCCACACATCGCCAGCTCTCTCTCAGCCCCCCCCTGGTGAAAAGTGTAGGTACATCCCTTGTGGGGAGGCATGGAAACTTTATAAGTTTGAGTGACTTGCCCAGTCAATATCAGGACTTCAACTATCCTGATATTGACTGGGCAAGCAGAACCACATGCTACTTGGAAAGGTTCCTGTGAGATCTGACTTCATAAAAATTTCCCTCGTGAGGTTTCTGGAAATTCCCGTTTATAACCTTGTAAACATGTTTACTGCAAATCTATCCTTACATGAGTACACTACCCAAATTGGATGTCTTTCTTAAGATGGCTGACATGACGTACAAAATGGCGGGTGACCGTGTGATTCAGCAAGGACTATGAAATTTCCCTTCACAAGGCCCGACACTTTTCTGCAAGATAATTTCATGGGTCCAAATGGTGGAAACGCCAACTAGAAATAATACACTATTGCACTTACTGATTTCTAGGGATGCGCCGATACCGAGTATTTGAGTGAGTACTGGTACTCGCCCAAATGCTCCGATACCTTCCCCGATATCAGAACCTCTGGTCAGAGGAAGATCTCCTCTGACTGGCAGTGCCATAGGGGAACATGGAGCCAGCCTCCCGGGCAAACAGAAAGCCAGGCGGCGCGTCATTACCCGCCATCCAGCTTCCTTATTGCCTGGGAAGCCGGCTCTATGCAAGCGGAAGCACCAGTATCGGCGAGTACCAAAAGCAAAATATCAGTACTCGATATCGGAAAAAAACGGTATTGGTGTATCCCTACTGATTTCTAATAATACAGAGCTATTCACAGATGTGGATATAAGGGGCAATTTGGAGGGTAATCAAGTATGCGATCTTCTCTGGGAAGCAGAGAAAAGTTGGAACGTCAAGAACTGTCATCTTCAGAAAGGCCAACTTTAGCTAGCTGCGATCTTTACTAAAGGATATTGTATGGGATGAAATCTTCCTGACAACAAACAGGGAGGACAGGTGGGAAAGTGTTATGTCCATATCAAACAATGTTCGCCAGTGCATTCCATTAAATAAATTAAAAAAGCAAAAGTCCCTTTTCTCCTATTCATAAACAATATAGAGGTCAGAATAAATGGCTCACACTCACAAAGTGTAGGTACATCCCTGGTGGGGAGGCAAGGAAATGTTATAATTTGGGGGGGGGACTTCAACTATCCTGATATTGACTGGGCAAGCAGAACCACATGCTCAACAAAGGCCACATAGGGATCACCAAGAAGCCAAAAGCAACAGGTCCAAATTAAATAAGGTTCTATTTGACAGACATGTGGGGGGGGGGGCCAGCTTACAAGTCAGAGACTACTGACTCCCCCTAATCATCGTATAGGTTTTATGCCCCTCACAAATCAAGACAAAACGCAAGCTTAAAACACCACTGGACTCTCCAAGACAAGGCTGGATAGGTGGCTGCAGATGTCATTGGAAATGTTCCTTTGAGATGTGACTTCACAAAATTTCCCTCGTGAGGTTTCTGGAAATTCCGGTTCATAACTGATAAACGTGTTTACTGCAAATCTATCCTTACATGAGTACACTACCTAAACTGGATGCCTTTCTTAAGATGGCTGACATGACGTACAAAATGGTGGGTGACCGTGTGATACGGCAAGGACCACGAAATTTCCCTTCACAAGGCCCGACACTTTTCTGCAAGATAATTTCATGGGTCCAAATGGTGGAAACGCCAACTAGAAATAATACACTATTGCACTTTTTCTAGGGATGCGCCGATACCGAGTATTTGGGTGAGTACTCGCACTCGTAATACAGCGGAAGAGGCAGTGCCATAGGGGAACATGGAGCTGACTTCCCAGGCAATCAGGAAGCCAGCTCCATGCTGATTGGCTGGGAAGTCAGCTTCCTGGCCAATCAGCATTGAGCCGACTGAACAGACGGCTGTCTTGGATCAGCTATAATAACAATAACAAGTACTTACTATGGGGGTTTGCTTTTAAACTTTTATGGTGGTTCTGAAATGTGACTTCTACAAACCAAAGACATATTTGCCAGCTGTTCGGCCGGCTCAATGTTGATTGGCTGGGAAGCCAGTTTCCCGGCCAATTAGCATCGAGACGACCAAACAACATGGAGTCGGCCTCCCGGGTAATCATGAAGCCTATCGGCGCGTCATTAAAAGGCAGCCCGGCTTACTGATGTAATCGGAAGCACCGGTATCGGCAAGTACCAAAAGCAAAATATCAGTACTCGATACCGAAAAACGTATCGGCATCCCTACTGATTTCTAATAATACAGAGCTATTCACAGATGTGGATATAAGGGGCAATTAGGGTAACAGCAACCATGGGGTAATCACGTTTGCTATCTTCTCTGGGAAGCGGAGAAAAGTTGGAACACCAAAAACTGTAAACTTCAGAAAAGCCAACTTTAGCTAGCTGCGATCCTTACTGAATGATATCGCATGGGATGAAACCTTTCGGACAATGAAAATAAAGGACAGATGGAAATGCTTTACGGCCGTATCAAACAACAATATACGCCAGCGCATTCCATTACATAAAAAAAAGCAAAAGTCCTGCAGGATACTGCACTGATGCTTTGCTATTCATTTAAATGACACCCCAATTCAACGCATGGCTAGTGTGCATCATTGCAGCTTACCGTGCAGTACAGTAATACCGTGCATTGCAGTAAAAAAAAAAAGGAATGCATGCACCACATGGTATTGTTGTACCACGCGTTGTGCTGCAATGCATGCCTGCCGGGAGATGTGTTGGGGTGCCACTGAAATGAATGTCAATGCGACATTGTGCGGTATGATAGCGTGCACTAGACACATGGATCCGGCGTGTTTAGGCCAGTGGTATAAGTTTGAACGAGTCCTAAAACTTTTTTTTTTCCCCATGTAACTACAAGGAAGTGGAGGGGTATTTTCGAGCTTTTGCACATGCTGCACACACCCATGCAATAATCATAAAAATAATTCTGAAGTTCAGCTGACTCATACAAGGAACCTCATAATCAATATACGGTTAAATTCTTTCACTTTCAGTCTGCTTTCCCACCATGGCAGCTGCTGAGCTGGGAGCCGAGCTGAAATGCTCCATATGCTTGAATATCTACACGGACCCGGTCACTCTGAGCTGCGGGCACAACTTTTGCCAGATTTGCATCCAAGACCTGCTGCGTAACCAGGACCATGATGGAGTTTACACTTGCCCAGAATGCAGGACTCAGTTTTCGACCCGCCCAACAGTCCAGAGGAACACGACCCTCTGCAATGTGGTAGAGCAATGCCACACATGGCTACGGAGAGAAGAGGCGACGGGAACGTGCCCCCTCCACCGGCTGCTCCTCAAATATTACTGCTTTGAAGACACGGTCCGGATCTGTGCCGACTGTTGTGCAAGCGTCCAGCACAGGGGGCACCAAACGATGCCCATGAACGAGGCCGCTGAGAAGATCAGGCAGGATTTGAGAAACCTTCTTGAACAGTTGGTCTCGGGAGATGAGCTAGACGGTGAGGTCCAAAGTTTCCAAGAACATACGCAGAAAGTAAGAGACAAGTCTGCTACTGTGAAGGAAAGCGTCACCGTTTTAATCCAGGATATCATTAGCCGATTGCTCGATCTTAAGAAGGGAGTCTTGGCCGAGATCTCCAAACAGGAACAACAAGCCCTGCTCTTGACCTCCAACCAGATTCAGAATCTGAAAGTCATGAAAGACGACCACTATTGTAAAATAATCTGCATCGAGGACCTGTCTAATATGGCCGATGACCTAACAGTCCTACGGATCGACGTCCCAGATCTTTCCTGCCCAAATGTAGAGGACTTCCACAGTCCAGACATGGATGATGATCTCATCTCAAAGACTTTAAACACGGGTCTAGTGGATATTGTAACCGGCGTAACCAGAGGGATCTTTGTGCCAGAAGCTTTGAACGCGACGCTCAACGCCAAGACGGCTGGTAGCAACGTTGACATATCTGCCGATTTAAAAACCGCGTCGTGGTCCCCAAACAACCGAGGTCGCCCACAGAACGGGGAGAGGTTCGAGTACAACCAAGTTCTAAGCAGCGAGAGTTACTTCTCTGGCCGACAGTACTTTGAAATAGAGACCAGCGAGACCGGCAACTGGATGATAGGGATGGCCTACAGCAGCATAGACCGGAGAGGGCACCAGTCTCTGCTGGGTGACAACGACAGGTCTTGGTGTTTGAGGAGACACGATGATGAGTATTCCGTCACACACCAGAAGGAAGTCTTACAGCTGACTTTCCAGCCCTCCTTGAACAGATTCAGGATCTTATTGGACTACGAGGCCGGCCAGCTGTCGATTTACGAGCTGAGTGACCAGACACGACATCTGCACACCTTTACTGCCACTTTCACCGAGCCGCTACATGTTGCACTATGGGTATGGAGTGCCTGGGTCAGAATCAGGAGTTAAAGGCAAAACAGCTGCCTATTTCTAACAAGCATGCGGTTTGAGCCACTGCCGTGCAGCCATTTGCTGTCTATATGCACTCCAGCGATGGCTGCATGGCATTTCTCAGGGAGGGTTTTCTGATGGTGACAACAGTGGACCATGTCTGCGTAGTGTGTATTGAGATGTCCACTTGTAGTCACCATCAGAAAGCCCATATGGCAGGGTGACAATGCAGTAGCACAATTGGGAGAAGGGGACAGAGCATTGTCATCCAGAAACAAGGACCTCGGTGATAGGAACCAGGGATTATTTTAATGAAAGCTGCAGATTTAAGTAGATTAAAAAAAATGACTTTTGAAAGGATGTTAAAAATATGAAATTTTAGTGATTGGGTTTACATTTCCTTTAACAGCAGCTGGGATAAAGTCAGAGAGTACGCCATTTTCAGGCAGGCCTCCATCCAATTTAAGAGAGGGGGAAGAGTAAAGACGCAATCACTGTGCAGCACTGCCAAGCAGGAAGTCATCTCCATGGTTTGGCCAAGTCCACCGATAATTTGCTATTCTGGGTGGGCACCTGAGGGGGCTGAATCAGCTGCCAGTGTCTTATATCTCAAATACCCAATGGGGAGATTTCCTCTCAAGCGCCTCTGCCCCATTCCAGATTGTCTGTCTCTGCTCCCTTCCACCAGGCTACAATGAAGGGGTCATTTCCTCACAGTGGGATCCCACCAATTATTTATTTTGAATTATGGAGAATCCTACAGTGTAGGGAGACACCATGACTTGACCTTGCAGCATCCATGACAAGTGGGAGGAGCTGGGAATCCAGCCAGAGACATTTTACCGATGGGACTCCCCAAAGAGATAGAAGAAGCTGCTGATGTGATTCTCCTTGCCAGTAATCACGCGAGCATTAGACTAACTCTGTGCAAAATGAAAAATGATATATGATGCAATCTGTCACTAACCGCTTCTGTTTTCCTGATTCCCCCTGTAGAGTATTTGTATTACTTTCCTGTACACCCGTCATTTATTCTACTCCTAGTACCAGACTAGCTGTCCAGCAAGAATGGCAGCTACAGGGGTTTCGGTTTCTCTCTCTCTCTCTCTCTCTCTCTCTGGGTCTCTCTCTCTCTGGGTCTCTCTCTCTCTGTGTATTATAAATATTGTATTTGTAACCTCTAGCTGGAGTTGGACGTAAATGTTTTAGTCTTGTAGGCGATGTTTACACCATGTCTGGAGCAGATCTGCAAACGCAGAGCATTTTTATCGCGATTTTGCCACATTCCGGTGCTGTTTTGCCTTTTTTTTAAGCTTCAAATTTCAGGGGCAGTCCAGTGCGTTTGCATGAGGTTTTGATGCATTTCCATGCCTTCCAGACCAGAGAAAATGAGAACTGCAGTATTTTTTTTTTTGTCTGGTCCGGATTGGACTGCATTGGTGTGAACAGAGCCCGGAAATACCATAGGGATACATTTGGATGCTTTTTTTTGGTCCGGAAACAAACTGTTCTGGTCAGGACATGGTGTGAACAAGCCCTTACTTAAAAGTCCATTACACGCCCATCTAAGGCTGGGCACACATCGCAAGACTTTTGTCTTGCGATGGTTGTAAGGTAATTTAAAAAAACGTACGATCTGCTCATCTTGGACAGGCAGATCATACTTGCGATGATCGCAAGCCGCACCCCCCCTGAGGGGCGGGCTTACGATGACCGCAATGCTGAACGGGCACTCGGGCACTGTGCGCTTGCGCACACCGGCCCGCCCGGCTTTTATCTTACGAACATGCTACACACCCGCCGAACATCGTACGATGCTCGGCGGGTTTTCAAACATGTTCGTAAGTTAAAAGTCGTGCGACCTTACAGTAGTAGCGGTCGCGCGTCTTCCACACACCTTACGATAATCGTACGATCGTGGGATTTCCCTTGATTATCGTACGATTATCGTAAGGTGTGTGGGCGGGCACCCTAAGACTACCTTACCCAGGGTGACAACACAGCTGTGTGATTTTTGCTGTACAAGGAGCAGCGTCGTCACCCTGTTGCAGGAAGTGGAAAAAAATTACAAATCTACCGACCACAGAAACAGGTAATAAAACTATGTTACGGGGTGGCGAGGTCAGAAAACAATAACTGCCGTGTTAATTCTACTGCCAGACCGCATCATATATGTCACTTTTTGTTTAGAGTTACATTTTAATTAGTTTAGGGTGGAGTGGCACTTTAACAGACAGAATTATTTTGGGGTTTTGTCTCTGTCCCGGTATCAGCAATATTTAATAGAACACTAAAAACGGTAAACGGACAGACTTGCCTCGCCCAGTGGAAGCGAAACATGTTTAAAAGTAGACATGTGCACCAGCAAAAAAATTGTTTCGATTTGGATTTTGCTTTATTTCGTTTTTCGGATTCGAATGAAGCTCGTTAGCGGAAATCCATATGAAATTTCGTTTTGTTTTCGTTTCGTCCGTTGCAGCAAAGTGACATTTAAGAGGGACAAAAGGGGTTTTTTGTTCTCAAATGTCACTTTGCAGCAACGAAATTTCGACCAAAAAACGAAACTTCGTCGTAAAAAAAACGAATCGGAAATTCAGAATCGGAAATTCGGATTCGTTTGCATTCGTTATATCTGTAATACGGAATTCGGATACATCCGAATTTCGATTCGCAACGAAACGAATCGCACATGTCTATTTAAAAGTGTTTCTAAAATGCGTGTGGAGACTTCTATTACAATCTACATTTCCCACCTTGACACAAAAGGTACAGAATGGAATCTAACTGGTTATTAGGAGCAAATGACAGTTGGCACTTTCTCTAGGTTTGTAACAATGAACTGAAAAGGCTTTTTTGGGTGTTTAAGGTGCACTCATGGGTACAGAGTCTGACAATAAAATGTGAGTTTTAATCAATATGTCCATCAGTGCCCCTTAAAAACCCCCAAAAAGCCTTTCTAGTTCATTGTTCCAAATGATCAGGGTGTGGTGTGGTGTACTATGTGGGCCCATTAGCCTATGGTTTCTGTCCCCCAGATGTGAAGCCGGCTCCAATTGGAATTGATGCGGTTAGCACGGTGTTTTGCTCAATGCTGTGGAGAGCTGGAAGGGTGTCCGCCGATTATTATCCTGTATACATCTTCATGTGTAACAATGTGGAATGTGCTGCATGACTGAATTGTTTTATCACAGATATGGAATAGTGAATAATAACATCATTTAATGAAATTTAAATGTATCTATATACATCTTTGTAACAGAATTCAGAATTATTTCCATATGTTATTAATATACC